CGCCCACGCCCACGCCCACGCCCACGCCCACGCCCGCTTCTCGCAGAGCCCTCCGCAGACCTCCTGGTAAACTTGAGCCGCTGCCGTCGCCTCATCGTGGTGCTGTCAGAAGCCTTCTTGGGCCGGGCCTGGTGCAGCCACAGCTTTCGGTGGGTCTAGCGGGGGGTTTGGGGGGAGGACCATCCGCACCCAGCTGACGGTCCCGCCCCCGCAGGGAGGGCCTGTGCCGGCTGCTGGAACTCACGCGGAGACCCATCTTCATCACCTTCGAGGCCCAGCGGCGCGACCCCGTGCACCCCGCGCTGCACCTGCTGCATCAGCACCGCCACCTGGTGACCCTGCTGCGCTGGAGGCCCGGCTCCGTGGTGCGGAGGGTGGTGCGGGCTCTGGGGTGGGTGGGGGTTCCGTGGCCTGGTGCCCGAAGTAGGGGCCTCCTTTGAGGTTCTGGGAGCCAGTGAACCGCGCTGCCAGGTGGCCGGGGGCTACCAGTGTTTGCGTCCCCTCCGTGTTCACACGAGCTGACTACCCCACCCTGGCCCCTAGACACCTTCGTCCAATTTTTGGAAAGAGCTGCAGCTGGCGCTGCCGCGGAAGGTGCAGTACAGAGCGATGGAGGGAGACCCTCAGACCCGGCTGCAGGATGACAAGGATCCCATGCTGATTGTACGAGGCCGCATCCCGGAAGGCGGGACCCTGGACCCGGAGCTGGACCCCGACCCCCAAGGGGACCTGGGTATGCCCGCAGGGGCCCACCGCTGACCCTGAGAAACAGCCTGGGGTGGAGGAGGGCTGCACAGGGCAGAGGAAGGCGCTCAGAAATGGGCGCAGGTGGCAGGGACTCCTCCATGCTGAACGTGGGTGAGCTTGACCCCCCGGGGTCTCCTAACTGCCCCTTCCTGAGGCTCTTGGGCCTAAGGCCTCTAGACGACCTCCAGGATGTCAGGTCACCACCCAGGAGGGTGAGCAGGGAGTGAGCCCCGCAGAGGCCAGCTGTGGGCAGCCCAGCTTCAGGCCTGCTGGTACTCCCTCCCCAGGTGTCCGAGGGCCTGTCCTTGGGGAGCCATCGGCTCCAGTGCATGCAAGCGGGGTGTCGCTGGGCGAGGGCCGGGGTAGCGAGGTGGACGTCTCAGACCTCGGCTCCCGCAACTACAGTGCCCGCACGGACTTCTACTGCCTGGTGTCTGAGGATGACATGTAGCCCCCCCCTCCGCAGGAACCACAGGGTGCCCGTGACAGCTGGGAGTGGGGCCTTGTGCCCTCCCTGCCTGCATGTGGCCCTGTGACCCTTTGGGAAGGGGAGTGGCCCTAATGCCCCTCCTTGTGCCAGAAAATAAAGTCTTTTTAGATCCCTCCTAGGCCTTGGTCTCTCTCCTGGGCAGCGTACCCCACACTTCCATCTCAGGCTCTCTGGGACCCTTGACCACGGCTACTCGGTCACCAAATCCAGCTGTCCTCTCAACCCCTCCCTTTCTCCATCCTGAGGCAGTTGGGGCACGTCTCCTGCTGTAGCCTCTTTGGGTCTCCCTGCTAGGGGACATGCCCGCCCTAGCCCCACTCTGACCCAGACAGGTCCTAGGGGGGCAGGCCCCTTAGAGGCTTCAGGTTCTGACATTGCAGAAGCTCTCTGCTGTAAAAATATCAGTGGGAATCCACAACCAGTGGCCTGGCTTGGTGAGATGGGGGAGGGGCCCCAGAACTTACTAGACACCAGGCCTCAGATGGTGTGAGTTCCTGGTCAGGGCACCCCCAGGTCCACAGGGCAGGGCAAGGAGAAGTGTTGGGTGTGTTTACCATTTGAGCACAGCCTAGTAGGGCAGCACCGACATGAGGAGCAGTCACAGCTGCCCCAGGAGCGGTCATAATGCACATGAAGCCTCCAGCTCAGCTGTGTCTGTGCCTCGGGTGGCACCAAGGCCTCTGCCATGTGCCCCATCTCCTATACTCTTGGCCAGTTCTCCCCTTGCTGGACACCCCTGTCCCTGACCTGGAGAGGCTTGTGCATTAGCCCAGAGACGGGTGTGGTTGGGGACATCCTGGCGTCCCTGGGGTCTGACCAATCAAGGAAGCATGCGCAGTTGTGGCTGCTGTGTTCACAACCACCTTTATTGCCAGTGCTGGCTGTCCTGAGGCACTGGGCCCCGGCCACCCCCACCTCTGCCAGTATGACCTGGTCACCACCCCATGCACCAGAGCAGCTTCAAGCCCTGCCCCACTCCCTGCCCTGCAGAAGCCTAGTCCCCAGCTGTACCCCGTCCCCTGTCCTCTCCCTGGTGCCCAGGCCCTTCGAAGTGCAGCTGGGGCTCCAGTGAGTAGCCGCTGGGCCATCAGCCTTCTCCTCCAGGCTGGCCGGCAAGCAGCATGGAGCCGAGCCTGTCCCTCAGAGGCCGGGCCGAGCAGCAGTCCCCTCCTCCGGGAGGGCCTTGCCTACAGGCCCAGGAAGTCCTCCTTTCGATAGCCCTTCTGCAGTGGAAGGGGGCCGAGTGAGGTGGCACGCAGGCCACTGGCTTGCCCTGCTTCCCGCTCCGCCTCCCCGGGGATGCTGGTTTGGATCCCTGACTCTGGGTCCCTGGTCCCTTTCTGCGAGTTCCTGCCCGAGTGTCTTTCCCCACATCCTCCTCCCAGGTCCACGCCCACCGCCCTGCCCACCCTGGATGCTAGAACATACCGCCCGGAAGTCCCGGTGCAGCTTGCTGTACTGCCACAGGTTGGCCAGGAGGCTGGAGGCTGCCCGGGAGGACTTCTCACTGTCAGGGCTGTGGGGTGGGGGCAGGGGTCAGCAGGGGAAAGGTACAGCCAGAAGGTGAGGTGTGGGGGGGCGCCAGGCTGGGATCAGAGTCAGGGGTCAAGGCGGGAGTGGGGCCGGGGCCAGGCATGCAGGCGGCAGTCGGGGTCCCCACCTGTCCCGCCTCTTCTTGATGAAGACCAGCTTGCGCAGCCCGTCGAAGTACAGCAGGTCACGGGCGGCGATGGGGCTGGCCACCACCAGGTTGTTGAGCACGGCTATGATGTTCACCAGCACGTCGGCCGGCGGGGCCTTCTCACCCACGCTACCCGGCAGCTTCTCAATCAGGTGACTCACCACCTTGGTGGCTGCGGGAGGCCGGGAGGTCAGTGTCAGCCCCACTCCCAGCCCCCAGGGAGTCGGTGTGCCTGTCTGTCTGCCCGGCTGCAGCCGGCCAGAATAAAGACCAAGTCCAGGGCCGAGCCCGCTGGGTGGCGTGCGGGCGAGCCCGGGCTGCGGGATGCCTGACTCACACATCTCGTCCTTGTTCCTGGCGTTGCGGGACAGGTTTCGGATGAGGCCGGTCAGCGAGCGCAGCTGGTGGTGGTCGGCCGTCCGCACGCGGTCCAGCAGCGGGTTCAGGATGCGCTCCTGCTCCAGGGCCAGGCGGCTCAGCACGCCCGCCCACTGGGGAGGTGGGGTGGGGTGAGAGCAGGCCCCTCTCCCTGCACCCTCAGGGCCCCTGGCGGGCGAGCTGAGGCGGGACTGGCTGCTCTCTGCCTCTGCGCACCAGCCGGCGGACTCTGCGCATGCGCCTCGGCTCACACCGCCGCCCCTCTTCTCGCCGGCGCGGAGCTGGAATCCCACAGCCTCGAGGCCTGTCCTGCCTGGGACTCTGACCTCCGCTCTTCGCTGCCCCTCAGGTGTCCCCTGCTTTCTCGGCCTGCCTTCTTTCCTCTCACTCTGACGTTCTGGCTCATTCACGAGGTGGCATTTGTCCCTCCATCCCGTCCCCGACAGACCGTACACTCCTGGAGTGCGCGCTCCCGTCTGTGTTCTTCCCGTGTCCCCTCACCCTGCGGTCGCCGGCGGTGATGTTCTGCAGCGCGCCGGCGGCCGCCTCCGTCGTGTGCCGGTTGAGCTCACAGCGCTGGAGCAGGCGGTTGTACAGGCCCACGATCTGGGGGCTCCACAGCCACTCCAGGCCCTTGGGGTCCTTAGAGACCTCGGCGAAGGTGAGCGCGTCGGCCGTGAGGGGCAGCTGAGCGGGAGGGTGCAGAGGGTCAGCCGGGCCAGGCTGGCCCCTGCACCCGCGCGCCCAGGCCTGCGCCCACCTCTCGAAGCCGCCGACTCTGTGGCGTGAAGCAGCCCACCACCTCGCCGGGTGGTGCCCCAGCCACGTCCCTGCGGCCCCGGCCCTCCAGCCGCTGCAGGGCCGACGGCGGCATCTCGTCGTACAGGCGGTAGGATAGGTTCCTCAGCACGCACACGGCGTTCTCCACGCTCTGCGGAGGGCGGGCTCTGGTCAGAACGGGCGCAACCCGCGGCCCCCCGTGGCGCGGGCCACTCCTCACCTTGTCCTCGCACTTGCCCACATCCAGGGCGTGGTTGATGTAGGCGACCAGGGCATCCACCAGCCCGTGGCACTCGCGCATCTTTTGGCGAGTGGCCTGGGAGGCCGAGCTGAGGTTCCTGTGGATAGAGGCAGGTCAGAGACCCGCACAGCGACTCGGGGAAGAGCCCACCCCCCGTGGGGCCTGGAACGCAAGGGCTGAGGTCCTTAGCGCCCATCCCCTCCCCCAGCTGGGCCCCGCCTCTAGGCACCTCCCACTCCTGGTTCCTACTGGACGCTGCTGGCCCTGGTCCCGCTGCACTCCAAGTGTCCAGAGGAGGTTACGAATGTCCGATCGAGTCTCTGATTTTATGAACCCTGACCCTGCAGCCCCCAGAGTTACTGAATCAAACTGGGTGGCCACATCTGGCGGGCCTGCACCTGTGCCTCGCTTAGTCTGCACATTTCCCCCAGGCCCTGGCCTTGTCAGCCAGGCTCCCCAGGCACCCGCTCTTTGCCTGGGGCCGTCATCCCCGCCTCTCTCCAGTGCACCTGAGAAAGCCCGTGGCATTGTAGAAGATCTCGGCCTCGGAGGCATTCTGCTGGATGAGGGGTGGCCCCCCGGCGCCCGAGAGGGGGCTCAGCACCAGGTCCGTGAGCTGCTCCAGTGTGTCTCGGGCCAGGCGGTCCTTCAGGTGGTCACTGGAGGACAGGTTCCACAGGATCCCTGGGGCAGGTGGGGCCGAGGCCAGGGTCAGGGACTGCCTGCCAACCCCCTCTGTCTCCTCTGGGGATGGTGGGAAAAGGCTGCGACCTCTCCCAGGGCCCTGCCCGGCACTTTGAGCCTCACCCAGGAGCCCCACTGGGGACAGTGGGAGTGAGACCTGCAGGGTCACGGGGCTGCCGTCGAGCCTGGGGACACGGGCCCCAGGTCCTGGAGGCTGGCCACAAAGTCATCGTGGGGACCAAGGAGAGAGATGGGGCAGGAGGAGCCAGCACAGAGACAGAAGAGAGAAAGGAGCAGAAGGGCAGAGCGGGCGACACAGGCAAGGGACGGCGGGGACGGCGGGGACCGGGCACCCGTGACATTCTTGCGCAGCTCGCTGTCCTGCTCACGCAGGGTCCGCAACAGCTCGAAGATGCCGCTCTCCTCCACCAGGGCCAGCTTGTTGTCCGCGCTGTCGTAGATGAGGTTGCGCATGGCGCCCGTGGCGTGGCGCTGCACCTCCTGGTTGGCGTGGTTGAAGAGCTTCACCAGCCGGGGCACGGCCTGGAGGCTGCGGGCCTGCGGGCATGGGCGCGCCGTGTCAGTGCGCGGGGCACACACCATGGCGTGCGCAGGGTGCGCAGGCGCGCGGGGATGGGTGCAGATGTATGCGGGTGTGCGCGGGTGTGTGCAGAGGTGTGCAGACGTGTGCAAACCGCTCCCTGCTGCCTCTCCCCTGCAGAGGAGGCTCTGGGTGGGACGGGGTCTGTCCGGGCAGCTAGGGGATCAGGGAGGGGCAGCTGGGGCCCAGAGGTCGGTGAGAGGTGGGGGCCGGTGCGGCAGTCAGCGGACGTCGCGGGCAGCACCTGTTTCTTGGCCGCAGCGTCACTGTAGCACTTGTGCTGGATGTAGGCGGCACCGAGCACCTGCAGGTTGGGGTCTGAGGCCATGAGGTACTTAACTGCCGAGGGCAGGTCAATGTCATCGAAGCTGCAGAGACAGGAGTCAAGGGTCAGGCTGACCCTGGGGACAGGCCAGGGCCATGGCGGAAGCCCCCTCCCTGGGCCAGGTCCAGCTCACCCGCTGCTGAGTCTCTGCAGAGTCCGGTGACCACTGTAGCTGTCCAGCCCACGCACATCCGGCAGGTGGCCAGAGTCACCCAGGCTGAGGCTGAGGCTGCGCACGGATGGCGCCCGGGCCACCGGCTCCAGGACACCCCCAGGCAGCGCCCCCGCCCCCCCACGGCTGCGGTGGCTGCTCTGGAATCGCTGCAGCGTCCGCATGGCGGGGGCGCGGATGGTCCGGCTGGGCGGCCCCTCGGCAGCGTCTGGCCAGTCCAGGCCCCCCTGCCGGCCAGAGCTGGAGCTGGCCTGGCGCTCGTAGGCAAAGGCCCTGTAGGCGGAGGTGGCCGTGGGCTCCAGCTGCTCTGACACCACGCTGCAGTGGTCATCCAGGCCCCCGGGCCCCAGCCTCAGTGAGTGCAGGGACAAGGTGTCGTAGTCCATCCGGCTCCCCACCCCGCCACGCTCATGGTAGGACACGGGCCTGGGGGCCATGGCTGTGGCGGGCTGGGATCCCCCGTACCCCACAGCTCCAAACGCGCTGCTCCCATTATGAACAGAGCTCAGCCTCCGACTGGAGCTCAGGTCCACGGCTGAGCGGGAGGACCAGGAGGCTGGGCCATAGGCGGGCTTGGCGATGGGCCGGAAGGTCTGCGGGCAGGGCGGAAGGGCAGTGAGGGGGGTGCTGGGCCCCCACCTTCCCCAAAGCCTCCCTGACATGACCACAGAGCTCAGACTCTCCCAGCTGGAGCGAGTGTCACTCACCGAGGTGCTGTCCCCACTCAGGCCCCGGGAGCGTGAGCTGAAACCCGTCTGCAGGGTGTGGTACTGGCCCCAGGACGTGCCTATGGGCAGGGACAGTGGTAGCTTGGCCAGGCCAGATGGCACAGCACGGGCCTCCTGTCCGACCCCCACCCCCCCGGCCTCCTCTGACCTCAGCCCTGGCGGTCCCTCTCCCATAGCCGCCTGCTCCTCTAGCTGTGCTGGGGGTCAGATGCGTCCATCCCAAAGGCCTCCCAGGCCCCTGGGGAGTGTCCTGCACCAGCTCTCCAATCCCCACCAGGGCGCAGTGCCTGGCCCTTCCTCCAGGAAGCCACGCTGACCTCCTGTGATCCTCTCCTGTGCTGCGGTCACATTGGAATGAGGCTTTGCTCACTGAGGCCATAGCGTGCCCTGAAGGCGGTCCCCTGTCCCACCTGGCGGAGCCACACCCACCCCATCCAGCCACACACAAACCGAGGGCCATGGCACCGGCCCGACTCTGCGGAGAGTGGACAGATGGGTGGGTGGAGGACGGAGGATGGCTCTGCTTGGCTGAGGGGCGCGGGGTGAAGTGGAGGGAAGACCCCCCCAGCCTCTGCCCCAGCCCCAGCCCCATTGGGTTAACGAGGCTTCTGGGCAGGGCTGTTAACCCTTTGACGCTCACCGAGGCTTAGCCTGGGAGGCACGCCCCAGCCTGGGGACCTTACCCCCACCCCAAATTATAATCCTCCTCCCCTAATTGGCAGGGTAGCCATGGTGGTAATTAGGCCCTCTCTGCTCCATCCTCCATCCTGTGACCCCTGGGCACCAACCAGGCCACCAGCAAGGCCGTGACCCAGGTGGGGGGACCCAGGAAGCCAGGCTGCCTGGCGGCCCCTATGCAGGCCAACCCTCCCGTGAACCCCTGTGGAAGGGCAGGGAGGAAACGGCGTTCACACTCATGCACGCACACGTACACATGCTCACATTCGCACGGCCTGCACGCACGTGCATGCACACGCACGCACACCATCGTGGAGCCAGGATTCCTGCGGGGCGGTCTGCCGGGCACTGAGGGGCCCTCCCCCAACCCGTGGGCCTCACAGACACTATGTGGGCCACTATAGCTGCCCTGTGATTCCACAGGGGACCCTGGTCAGCTGGGCAGGCGGTGGCTGGCGTCCAGGATTCCCAGACCCCGCCCTCGCGTTTCCTCTGCTCATTCCCATGGACTGTGGGGTGGGGAGGGGTGCCGGAGTCTGGGCGTCTGCATCTCACTGGGACTGACGGGTGTGTCTGCATGTCCCCGGGACCATGTGTGAGCCCGTGTCCCGGGGGACTGTCCATGTGCATGTTCCGGTTTGCTGCCGGAGATGGGCCTGGCTGGCCCGCCACGTGCTGACCGTCCCGCCATCCTCCACGGGGGTCTCTGGGCTGAGGGTACAGGCGGGGCCCAGGCAGGCTCGGGGAAGAGGACGCGGGGTCCCTGGGGGTGGCGGGAGGCCCCACCTACGGCCTGCCCCACACCCGGCAGGGTGGGGCGGGTGACTCAGTCAGTACAGGCCTGTGAGTCAAGGAGCTGGGCCCTGGGCAGCCGCAACGCGGCCTCTGGTCTGAGCACCATCACACCCACCGAGGCCACCTCCGCCCACCACCACCAACCCCACTGCCCGGCGCCCACCCCGCCGGCATCCGCCTACCTCTGGCCGCCCCAGTGACTGTCCCCGGCTCGGCTGTCCCATTGTGCCTCTGCTGCTGGCCCAGCTGCAGAAGGCGGGCGCGGACCTGCTCCTGGACGCGGGCAGCTCGCAGCTGATCAGCCTCCGGCCCCTGCGTGCCCCGGCGGTCCAGCTGCAAGTCCGAGGGCAGTGCCAGGGAGCACACTCCAGCCTCCGGCTGCAGGGCCGACAGCAGGAAGTTGCCGTCCTGCATGGCGGCAGGCGCGCGGGGCTGGGGCCGCCTAGCCTGGGCCGCTGCCGCTGCCTCCAGCCTGCAGTCTTCACTGTCTCTACTGCGAGGCCCCGTCCCCAAAGTCCCCTCCCCGCTGGCCTCGCCCAGCCCAGAGCCTCCAGGAGACAGCTGCCCGCCCAGCCCTGAGCTCTGCGGGAGGCGGGGACACCTGGGCCAGGTAGGAGGGAGGGGCCGCGGCCTGCTTAAGGTGGAATTTGGGCAGACGAACAGGCCCTGCTTGGCCCAGGTCCTGGCCTGGCTTCCCCTCCTCCCAGGTTCCAGGACAGGGCAGCAGGGGTCCTGGGGCTGTCTTGGTTCCCAGCCTGCAGAGGCCACATCAGCTCTATGAGATGGGGCAGCGGGGGCGGGGCAGGGGGAGTGGGCTAACCAGGCCTTACTGCCCTGCTGTCAGCCGCCTTGAGAAGTCTGAAGGGGAGGGCCTCCCCCTCTCTGGGGCCTGGGGGCTCTAGGCAGCTCCAGGGACCCAGCCAGGAAGCTGGGGTGAAGCCTCGGCAGGGGTCCGCATGAAGGGCCACTCTTGAGGGTCAGGGGTCAGTGCTAAGGGTCAAGATCGAGGATAAAGGGCTTAGGGTGGAGCTTCAGGGTGGAAGAGGGCCCTGTGGAGGGTCCTGGTCCCTGGTGCCTGCAAGACCCCAGAAACCTCCGGTAGACCAGCTGGCCCCCCAGGGCACGGCCGCCAGACCTCCATCCTGCAGACCCAGAGATCGCCTCCAGCCCTGCCCCCACCCCCTGCAGAGGCCTGGGAAGGCTGGCTCAGCCCTCTCTGGCGCCCCTCCTGGCTCCTGCCCCCCAGGCTTTGTGGGGGGGAGCCCGTCCTGACACGTGAGTCGGGGCTCAGCAGGGCTGTGATGGGAGGGACAGGTGGAGCTGCCCCAGGGGGCTGACTCAGGGGCCCTCCTCCCAAGCCGGTGCTGGAGCTGGGTTTTCAGGGAAGAGCCCAGGAGTCCGGAGAGTAGGAATGAGGGTTGTGGGAGTACGGGGGGGCAGGGGGAGACAGGGCCCCACCTCGGGGGGCTTGCCCCCGAAGTCTCCCAGAGCCCCTCCCTCGTCCAGCTGGACTAGCAGGCACCAAGGCCTGGGTAGGCCTGGCGTGGATCCAGGAGAGGCCCCTGGTAGACTGGGGGTGAGGGGTGAGGCCGGGATGGCTGGAGGGGTAGGGGCCTCATGGACCTCCTCGGCTCCCCTAGGAGAGTCACCTGTGGGCTGTGGGCCACCCTAACAGTCTGCTCTCCCCAGAGCCTGCCTCTGGCCCTCTCTCCTGTGTGGCCTATACCCACCCCCGCGACATTTGCTTTAATCAACAATCAGTCCTGACAGAAACAACGTGGTCCCAGTCGGGGTTGGTGGCTGGGTGCAGAGGGGGATGGGGGCGAGGTTAGTGTGGGAGGAGGTGGCTACGGGCGGCAGTCAGATGTCAATGTAGGGGGGTTTAGAGGGACCCTGGAGAGGTTGGGTGAAGCCTGGGAAGGCCTCTGGGCTGGAGGGGTGGGGGACCTACCCTGTTGGCGGTGGGGACACCGAGGGCCCCTGGGACCGTCCTGGAGGCTGCTGCCGGCTGAGGGGTCCTGGGCTCCATCCTGGGCCCGGCAAGTCTGTCCAGGGAGGCGTCCGTGCGGGCAGGACTGTGGGGGCACCGGGGGCGGGCTGGGAACACCCAGCTCATCAGACCGGTCGCGTCCTTGGGAGACGGGTTTTGTGTGGAAAAATCCCGGGAGACAAGTTTGTGCGGAGCTGAGTGAGCCTGGAGGCGCATGCCTGGCACGGGCCTGTGGCCCGCCCTTCGCTGGGGCCCACCTGGGCCCTCGGAGGCCGCCCGGCACATGGCTGGGGGCAGGCAACAGGCAAGGGTCTGATGGGCTTGTGCGGAGGCCCTGGGGAGGGGGCTTTGGTGGGGTCACAGCTATAGGAGGAGAGGAGGCCCGGGTGGGGGATGGTTTTCAGCAGCCTGCAGGGGCCCTGGGGCCAGTTGTGGAGCTTCCCTCCTCTTGGCAGGGAGGGCTGCAGGTGTCCCAAAGCTGTGACCGGCCTCCCCGAGGACATGCAGACCCTTCCCCACTGTGGGCCTCCTGCCTCTGTGGCTCGGTGTTCCCCCGGTGGACCAGGGCCAGGGAGACCAGCCACATGGTCTGGGCGTCCCCACTGCTCTCGGCCCCAGGCTCAGAGCCTGTCCAGCCCCTGGACCAACTTTCTGCTTGGCCCTCCGCTCCAGGACCCAGGATGTGGGGAGAGAGTGCGAGAACTCAGCAAGGCTTGGCGGTGGGCTTCCTGGAGGAGCCGGGTCTGTGGCAGAGGCGGGAAAATTCACTCAGGGAGCTTGGAGACAGACCAAAGGGCCCTCTGTGTGGCAGGACCTGGGAATCTGCGTTTAACCCCCCAGGCGGCTCTGGTGCACCATCAGGGTGAGAACCTGGAACCCCAGGGACATGAAGGGTGAGTGGGGGGTGGGTGCTGGGGGACAGAGCCTGAACTCTGCCCCGGGGAGTCCCCAGAAAGGCTCTGGAGGCCTGAGGGGGCAGGTTAGCATTCACACCCCTCCATCCGTGTGGGTGTGAAGGGTGGGCGGGGGCGCATACTGGAGGAGGGGGCCCCCAAGCGGCTGTTTCAAAGGTCTCTGAAAGAAGGATTGGGGATAAAGAGCAGGGGCTGGGGGACCCCAGGGCGGAGAGCCAGAGCCGGGGGAGGATGGAAGGAGGATCCGGAACCCGGCTTTGGTGACCAGGAGTCTGGGGCAGTTATTAGGAGCAGAAGAAGGGAAGACAAACTTGAAGATATCAACAGCAAAATAATATTCGAAACAACTTTCAGTAGCATGCCGGCGCACAGAGAGGTTAGGGAGCCGCTCAGCGGCCACACAGCCTGCAGGCGTGCGGATGGGTCATCGTGGCTCTCTCGCCGGGGACCCCCCAGAGGAGCAGGGCTGCCGTCTCTCGCCTGACTCCGGCTCCCGTGCATCCGGGCACTTCCTGCCACGCCCACGCTCTCTTGGTCTTCCAATGCCGGGTGGCCTGGGCTCCCGCCAAGTCCAGCCCAGGGGACTTGCCCGCCTCCTTCACGGAGCCTACCTGGATTTGCGCCATAGGCTCCCGCCCATAATCCTCGGGGACCCTGGGTGGGACACACGGGACCTGGCATCCTCTGCGCCCCTACCTCCCGCCTTGAGACTTTAGTTGGGAAGTAGCTGAGGGATGCGGGTCCCAGTCGCCCCGGGGGGTGGGGCGAGGCACCTTTCATCCCCACTCCCGCCGCCCCCCATCCA